AAGTTTACTTACATAGTCTTTCCGCAAACATTAAAATGCCCTAAGGTAAAGTAATGAAATGCTATTAAGGCAAAAATTAAATGTTAAATTTCACTTAAAACAAATGATTATTGAATAAAGTTTACAAATCTATTTAGTTATCACATTTATTCTAAAGTACAGTTTTCTCAATTGAATATCATATACTTAGTGAGACCATTTCATCAACTTTTTTGCCAGCTTTTTAAGTTCCAAATAAAATAATTTGTTTAACATGGCTCAACATAAATGTTTTCACCTTTTTCAGACTAAAACTATTCCCAAGAAAATTATTTTAGGACTACATATTTCCATGAACATTACCTAGTCCTCATAGCATAAAAAACACTTGTTCATATCTTGTTTTGGATATAGGCAGGGTACAAAAAGAAGTGAATTCTTAACTCCCTTTCCATCCAAACTAAAGCGTATGCCCTTATTTTGCTTAAATGAAAGATAGATTTCACTTAAATTAGCTAACACATGAATTACAATTCCATTTGATTAATCATTTTATTCTGAAATAAGATTGTTTGAAATTTTAAAGCCAACAAGTAAAATCAACAACCTGAATTGTATGAGTCAGTACCTACCAAAGACAATTTTATAAGGTATTAAGCCAATAAGCAAACTTCAAAAACAATTATAAGGAAATATATATGTATGTGTATATACACAAATATATGTATGTAAAATAGTTCATGATTTTAATTTCCTTCCCTGTTACTGAAGAAAGAGTTTGTAATGTTTATTAAATAGAAGTCAGCTTAGCTGCCTCCTGTCCTAACTCTGAAGAGAAATATACGCAAAAAGTAACATTAAAGACACAGTTCTTTGGACACTTGCATTTGAAACTAGAAGATACTTGTGCAAGATGCAAACACAAATCCAAAATGAACATAAAGATCACGGTGCCCTAGGACAGTGGGGAGATGTACATATCTTAGGGAAAGTACACAAAGAGTACGAGTCCACAGCTACTCACTATATCAGCACATCTAGCCAACCAAACTGCTGAGGAAGAGTTACTGCCTCTCTCAATTTCATTCACCATTGCAAACCTTTGCTTTCATTTGCTGCCATCCATAGTCTATTCCTAAATATCACAAAAGCATAAGCAAAGATATCATTTTACAAAGAACTAGCTAACTACTTAAAGCTTGAGAAATGACTAAATGTAGATTTGTGCCGCAAATGTTTCACTCCATGCTTTGTAGCTATAAGACTGCTTTAGGACCTCGGGTTCAATTAGTTAAAAACAGATCAAATTGTTAAATTCTACCTTAAAAAGTCCACACCCTAGGAATATTAACTAAGACCACTCAAAGACAGGACCAGCAGAAAACAGCTCATTTAACCCTAGAAACGCATAGATGTTTTCTTTATTCCCAACCCAATTTGACAGCCACATACATGGAGACTTAAAACAGCACTGGTGTCTACAGCCCTCCAATGTGCTTACTGACCAAGGGCCATAGTGAGATCAACTCCCAAAAGCAAGACATTATCGCTGCTTTACAAATGCCCACAGTGCAGATTCACCATAAGTATGCAGAAAAATAAAAAGAAAAAACTTCTACAATAGAAGAAGAGTGGGGGGAGTAGGGAGAGGGATTCAATGGCCTATTCCTGGCTAGTCACACCAAGAAAAAGGATTAAAAAAAACGGGTCTTAAAGTGGTACAACAGATAGAAGCCAGTAACTAAAACACCCAAACACCTGCAAGAATTCTCCCACCAAAAAAGCAGCAAATCTAAGCTCAGGGCCTTATTCTGCCCCCACTGGACTGAAAGACTAGTCTACTAAGAGGAGGGTCCATGTGGAACAAAATTATAAACAAGGGCAATTGGTTTCTCTATTGAATCCCTTTCCCCAGCACACCCCTGACCAGCACTACACAGTCAATACAAGCACCTTGTCAAGGTTAGTGCCCTTTAGATTTTTCTTTCAATCTGCTACCACAGCGAGACCAACTTCTCTGCTAACCATAGAAGACCAAAGACAAATGGAATCTCTTTTAACTGGCAATTTCATTAATCTGGGGATCCAGATCAAAGATTTGATTATGAACACTTCTCAAGATATAATACTTCCACTCTTTATTATAGTTTTTGTATTCATACTTCTTTGTACTTTATGTTAAACTCTGAGCCACTAAGCTCATGGAAGCCAGCCCTTCAAGTCTACTCCCATGCGCGAGAGGTAGCTTTACTGTTTTCCCTAACTATATACAGACTACTATTTCAATGGCAAATGCTGTTAGTCACAAGGCAACTAGATGGAAAGGAATGGATCACCATACAGGACAAATGTATACCTTTGACATGACATGGAGACTATGACATGGCTGACTACAGCTGTGTGTGCTCTGGGTTACACTACTGTGAGAAAGCAGGGCACTTCAGTATGGCTGGAATTGCAAAGTGTCAGCCCTGGAAGGACCAGACTCCCCAACACTGATCTTTAAAGAAAGAAAATTTACTTCAGATTTCCTGGATTGTTTGGCAACTATACATAAGAAAAATTAACTATCCAGAGCTAGAAAACACCTGGTAATGGCCATGTAATATTAAGTCTCTGCTTGGGGTAAGCAGTGCTCACAGTTCTAGCATAGTACATCATAAAGCACTCAAGAACTGATCTATCTAATTTTTTCCTTACACTTCTCTCTGCCCAGCAACTAAACTTATTCCTTTAGGGCACTTTGATTCTAAAATAATAACCTGTCATATTTTTTGAAACTTCAATCCAGAACTCTACTTTGAAAGCATGGACAGACCCTTTCCTGGCCATTGGCAATCTGCCATCTTTATGACAGAGGAGCACAGACTTTAAGAGTAACTCAATTTCAGGAAAAAAAGGACTGAGAAAGCCCATCATAATCTCACTCGTAGAACGTTTGGCAACTATACAAATGCACTTTAAAGTCTTAGGACAGAATACAAAATGAGGAGCTCCAGCTAGGCTTTACTAAGCTATCAGGAATAAAGTTTAACAAAACTTGTTCTACTAACACCTGTTTACCTAGAGACAGGTAGTACTTAAAGGTAAAGGATACTGATACCATCAGATAAAATAAGAGTTTGTCTTATTTATCATTAAAGTTTCAGCAATACATGAGCCCCTTTCTCTAGGCTAGAAGATAATCCAACTCAAAATTACTAGGAAACATTTTCTCCAACCAGAAAAATGTTAATGAATCTGACCTTATAACTATCCTATATAATAAAGAGCTAATATGCTAATGGTCATGACACCCTCACACTGTCACAACCATTTAGCAGGAGGCTGCGTGCGAGGTGGGTGGAGCCGCCGCATTGCTCCAGAGACAGGGAGGAAGCGGGGAGGCGCCTGGAGGAAGCAGGAGCACCCCGTGACAGGGAGGGTCGGGGTGAGAGCCTATAGCACCCCCCTCACCAGTCCTTTGCCACCCACCACTCGCACTCAGAGCGCCCCGCCGCCCACCTGCCAGGGGAGGGAGCGCAGTGCACGTGCTACCAGGAAGCAGTGCTCAAAACTCTGCAGCACGCGTGAGGCTTCCATGCTCTCCTCCAGCACCATGATGGGACAGAACTGTTGCGTTGCTCCAGAGATGGGGCGGAAGCAGCGAGGCGCCAGAAGGCAGGACCAGCCCAAGGTGACTCACAGGACTGAGGGCAGGGCTTGAAGCGGCCAGAGAAGGCTAGAGGGGTCAGGGTCAGGGTCAGGGACAGGCACACTCGAGCTCTAGGTGTAGAGGTTAGAGTGTCAAGGCGGGGCAGTGGGCGGGGCCATGTGATTTCACGTGCTGGGACTCTAGTGATTAAAAAGGAAATACTGCCTCAAAGAGTAATTGAGACACAACAGATGTCAATCAAAACAAAATCTCTGAGCAGGCAGAGGAAAGTCCAGCTGTACACTATAAACAGGCAAGAGATGTTATCAGTAGTAAGAAAAAATTACTTCGCTAACTTGTACAACTGACTTTGTTCCTTACTGTTCAAGTTAACTACCTACCAGAGACAAAAAAAAAAAAAAAGAGAATAGGTAATGAAATGTTTTTAATGCACACATGCACTCAGACCTGAATATTTCTAAAGACCACCACAATATGTTAAGTTTTATAGAAGATTTTAATCCCTTTGGAAGGATGCTATTCACTTAGAGTTCTTTTTAGGTGATATTACAGAGATGCATTCCAAAACCCCCAGAGGATGCCTAAAACCACGGATAGTACAAAACCCTAAATACACTATGTGGTTTCCTATACATACATATCTTTTCACTTAAAGGAAGCACTTTACAAGTTCTCTTTGGTACATCCAAGTTGCCAGCATCACTACTCCTGTGCTTTGGGCCATTATCAAGTAAAACTAGAGGTCTAGTGCACAAACTCGTGCACCAGTGGGGTCCCTCAGCCTGGCCTGCAGAATTGGACCAGAACCATCTCTCCAACATCCCCCAAGGGGTCCCGGATTGCAAGAAGGAGCAGGCCAGGCCGAGGGACCCCACTAGTGCATGACAGAGGCCGGGGAGGGACCGCGGGAGGGCTCCAGGGCATGTCCAACCCATCTCAGTCCCGATCAGCCAGACCCCAGCAGCAAGCTAACCTACTGGTCAGAGTGTCTGCCCCTGGTGGTCAGTGCATGTCATAGCAACTGGTCGACCAGTTAACTGTCTGCCCCCTAGTGGTCAGTGCACATCATAGCAAGTGGTTGAGAGACCTTAGCATATCATTAGCATATTACGCTTTGATCAGTTGAACGGCCAACCAGATGACAGGACACTTAGCATATTAGGCTTTTATTACATAGGATAAGGGTCACTTGAACACGAGCACTGCGATGCCATGACAGTCAACCTGAAGACCGTGGTGGCTACTAAGTGACTAATGGGCAGCAGGAACACATACAGCGGATCCTGAGCGAAGGGATGATGCAAGTCCTTGGCTGGAGGGAGCAGGACAGCATGAGATTTCATCACACAACTAGAACAACACACAATTTAAAACTTATGAATTGTTTATTTCTGGAATTTTCCACTTAAAATTTTCAGACCGCAGTTGCTTGTAGGTAACTAAAACCACAGAAAGCAAAGCCGCAGATAAATGAGGACTACTAAACAAATTACTAGAACTACCAACCTAATCTTATAGCATAGCATAAAACCAATTTTGCTACATATCTTCATTATCTGTACTAACTGGCATTTAATAGAAAAATAAGGATCTCCAAAGCTCAAAACAGCAAGCAGGGAACACAGTTCCTTTGACATCAAAGACTTGCCTTCTATATTAGCATGAAAATCCAACTTAATTCTCAAACATCTTCAATCAAATTTCACTCATACTCATAAAAGAATTCTATTAGGTTCTCAGACATCTTTAAATGTTCATGTCTCAGAAGAGTATCACTATCTGAAATCATAAAACCATTAACTTGCTATTTCTTAATAAAAACGTGTAAACCATACCCCTATCTTTTGGATTACAATGGTTAAGTACAAAAACAATTCATTTAACATCTTATAAATCATTACAGTTATGTATAAAAGCACCTACAAAATTTTAAAAATAAAAGATTCACAGTGCACTGAACCTTGGAACATATAAGGTTGGAACATAAGAACATTTAAAAAGTGGATTCAAAGACATAAACATAATATGAAGCCAAGAAAACCACTCTTGTCTAAAAATGCAGCACACAGAAGTTGTTATTGCATATTCAGACACTTCTTTATAACTTGATTTCTTTAGACCATGCTAACATTTCTCAAAGGAGAAACCCAGTTCTGTGCTAACCATGGCCTTTCTCAAGGAAACCTGAACACTGAGAAACGAGTACACAGGTTCGAGAGAATAAGTATAGCAGATGTACATGAAGCAGATACATCCAACTTACACGTTTTCTGCACAGTTTAGTCACATCACAAACAAACTTTACTCACATCTTTTAACATTTTTTATCTCAAACTCAAGATAGCTAAAAGCCTCAAATTATCAAAACACTATCCCCACAATACCTATTTTGTTCCACAGTGCATGAGTGAAGCAGCACAACAGCAGTAACATTGAGCTAGGGTTAAAACATCATCACTTGAAAAGAGATAATTTGTTGGTTCTTGAAAGGCTCAACACTATTAGACACACTTCTGATAACTATACCTAATCTCTTTTGCTTTAGTATTGAGAGCTGAAAAATCCAAATCTAGGCACCAGACTGACCATGGTATAGTGCTCAAAAAGAAAAAAACATAAAAAACACTAAAAATTAAATGGTTTCCAGATGACAGTAAATGAGTGAAAATGATTTAACTATCAGGTAAACGAAGTTTCACTCCCTTAACAACTGAACAGAAATCTGGAATGCTGGGACCAACTATAAATATGGCTCAAGGAGACCCAAGCAAAGCAGTTTATTTCTGGAAAGAAGAGTAAGAACTTCCAAACACAATCATAAAACATTTTTTAAAAAGTCACAGAAGGATTCATAAATTTGTCACATTAAAAGATGCAGGATTGTAAATAACCTTATGTTAAACACAATGCTGCAATTGTGAATTCTCCTGCTTAGCACCAAGGGGGTGACTTTCATTAATAAATATAATTTCTCCTTTAAAATCAAGCCATTTAACAGCTAAAGCAAAGTAATGCCAAGTAAATGCCTTACAATAGCATTTCTTTTGAAAGTCCCATTGGTTACATGAACCCCTATTAAATAGGCTACCTATACAGAATAAAGATTTCTACAATAAAATTTACAAGCAGAGATATATTTTGTGGATACCACATGTAAAATCGATTTTTAAAACCCACATGACAGATGCACATGCACGCATATGCTCCCACCCCTCCACCCCCACAAAGAATTACCTTCATTGAGGTCAAAAATAGCCCAAACACTAAAGCCCCCTTAAAGCCCTGGTGATTGTCCTTAATTATAGCTGAAATTCTTAAAATGGGCACTGCCATCCTTATTTGGATGTAAGAATCCTGAAGAAACAAAATACATTCCTAGGAGTGAGTTATGTACGTTAATTTCATGTTCTGATCTTCCCCCAGAGAGAGGCTTTATCTGCACTTGGGTACACTACACACCCCTTCCATTCTCACTCCATCACCCAGGGGCTTCAGCATGCTAATAAAAACAGGTCAGTCTCTTACTACTGCAAATTGGAACCAAATATAACATCTGTTTCCAGAGATCAACACTGAGATGCAATGTAAAACCTAATAATGTCAGTATTCCATACTTATTTACACAACCGTTATATAAAATATATCTTCACAAGAACAAAATAACTGTACAACACTAAAGAGTTGGCGGCAGGACGAAGACATAACCAAGGCAGCTGCTGTGTCCCAGCCTCCATGCTCTCTGCTACCCTCTCTCCAGCAGCCTCACAAGTTTACTGACTGTATGCAGCACAATGCAAAATTAAAGCAGCAACTCCCCATCCAACAACCCAGTCCCTCTCCAGGCTGAGAACTGGGTCCTTAAATGAAGAACTAAGAGAGTTCATTTTGAACATGAATATTCTATAGGAGATGCTGGCTCTAAATAAAACCTTTCAACTAAACTTCAAGCAGAGGATTAAAGAACCTAAGTGGTTAGAAGTAAAGAAATTCACAAAATGAATCCAAAGATGAACTGCAACCTTGACTTCCGTATTTCAGCTCTTGTGTTTAACAAATTATGTACCTTGTTTCTTTTAAAATTTCAATATAAAGAAAGTAAAGTGAGTAGATAAGAGTATTTCCATGAAGTTAATGATAACTCAAACACTATTTTCTTGATCAAAATATGAAAAACCCTCAATCATAGGAAAAAATGCCCTCATAAAAAGTAACTTAAATTCATTACCCAAACACTGAAAGGTACACCTGTATAAAAGTTTATAAAACTGCCATTTACAGTCCAAATACATGCTTCTTTCTTTTCTCTCTCTTGCACGGAGAACCATCTCCTCAGAAACATCATTGCCTTCCTGCATTTCTTTAAAACACCTGAGAAAGGTAAGGCTCAGAGAGACACCCACTCAAATGCAACAGGTCTCTGGCTCTTGGAACTTCCACAGCACATCTGCTGCTATCAAAGGTCCAAGATTTTCATTATAGCATTATGGTCAAACTTGAAACTCAAAAAGGCTCTGGATGAAAAGGGAAACTTGCAATGTCCATTACATGCCACAGTCTGTCCCTCAGCATGTTCTAACAACTGGTCTTCACCAGAGCAAGGTAAGTCATATGCAGCATCTGTGTTAAAATACAAAAGAAATAAATTCAGTAATGAATAAAAATAAAATACTGCCCTTCACCTTTTGTTAAAAATATACTGTACATGATGAATTCCTTTATATCTCAGACACTCTGAATATTACCTGTTATTGCTTATTTCCACACAAACATTCACAATCTTAATCTGTCCTTATTTCAAAAATGGGCATGCCTGTTTTTAACCTCCAATATTCATTCATATTCTGTGCCAAAATAGTGCGAGCTTCTTGACAGAAATAAAAATTTAAGCACTTAAGATTAAAATTACAACGTACAGTTTGTAAAGAGTCCAATTATAGAAAAATCAAGCTAACGCTTTATTTGGAGCTTACCAATCTTCAGGGAACATACAACCTAAAGAAAAATCCAACTTTTCAAAACCATAGTACAACAAAGCACTGAATTAATAGGATTTGGGGGAGTTTTCTAAAGTAGAGCAGGAGCCGACTAGGAAAGTATGTTTGGAACAGACAGCAAGAAGCTGAGATGAAAAGTCTGAAATGAGGTTTCCCAGGACATTATTTATATATATATATATATTTTATTGATTTTTTACACAGAGGAAGGGAGAGAGATAGAGAGTTAGAAACATCGATCAGCTGCCTCCTGCACATCTCCTACTGGGGATGTGCCTGCAACCAAAGTACATGCCCTTGACCGGAATCGAACCTGGGACGGGACCTTTCAGTCCGCAGGCCGACGCTCTATGCACTTAGCCAAACCGGTTTCGGCAGGACAAGATTTCTTTTATACTTCCTTCTCAAGAGGACTCAAAATTTTATATATCCACATGATGCCCAACTAAGCTGGAGCTACGAAGTTATAGTGCTCCTTCTTTAATGTTCCTGAACATAGACTTTTTAAAATTTTTGTGAAATAATTTACTTCTGAACTCTTGTTAATTAAACCACAACCTATCATGCCCCTATCAGCAAAGATAGCTAGAAAAATCCTATGAAGAGGATTCCTACCCCCATCACTCATCTATACAAAACTAATGATAGTTTCTGCTTCTTCATAGTTAAACTTAATTTTCCAAAATAGGGTTAAAGTATCTCTTTAAAAATAGCTTTTATCTTGCTGAAATCATAGACAGTACTCCAAAAAATATTATAATGTTTTTCATTTCTTAAGATCTTTTAATATGAAGGCTTTAATTGGAGATGAATAAATGCCTATCTACTACATAGGGAATTTCATTATATTCAAAATAGCACCTAAGAAGAAAACAGTCTGCTGTACATCCCAACTACATCAGTATTACCAAAGAGCTTTCTACATTCATCAGCATTACTTTCCAAATCAAATCACATACCTATTCTTCATCATAATTGAGGATAGAGAAGTTCTAAATGTCATTTTAATAAGTTATCCTTAGTACCAGCTTAAAAAGTTGATCTCGACCTCCAAAAGTGGGAAAATGTCCCCCCTCTAAAGTCTGTGTACCCCTTACATACATTTTATACCACATAGAATGAGGTCTCCTCATCTTTACCATACTTGATTCTACTCCCTCTCTAAACCTTAAGCTATCATTTATTTATCTATAATATCAATGCACAGCACACAGGTTTGTCATTCACCAAATATATAGCACACTGAGAGGCAAATAATTTCATGTTAATCATTTAAATAAATTCACTTTTGCCAGTTTCATAAACAGAGTACTTGACCACATATATGAACTCTCTCTACAGACATGTGCAACTCTGTTTATCCATTATGGTTTATCACACACTCCAGTAAAATCAAGGTTAGGCCAAAACCAAATCCCGTGAGGCAAAAGCTTTAAAAAGAAAATAACTTGCCTGTTTCAAAATTATCCTGAAGTTTTCGTGGATGAAGTCTTTTCTCAAATTTCTATTAAAAAAAACATAAACATACACAATATACCATTTCTAGTTATTTCACTTATTATAAATGACACCTACTTTTAAAATCAGTGTAATGTTCTTTCAAACTTTTACCTTCATTAAAATAATACAGATTCTATTTAGAAAAATACAGACAGAATAGGCAAGGACTTACTCTCAAAAGCAGGGTTGACTACATTTTTTCACAGTTATTAAAATTAATAACAATTATCAGGCATTAGATGTGCAATTGAATCAATGTTACAATCCCATAAATGAAAGCAGCCAAAACACTTTTTGTGGGCAAACTACATAATTTCATTCCATAAAAATGAAATGTTTTATCAATTCAATGTGCCTTGACAATGCCCTTGCCCCACTCTTTAAAAGAGTGAACTCCCTTATTAGTATGAGATAACTGAAACTCTTACCATCAAGGAATTCTGTTGCTTAGCTGGCTGGCTGTGGACCCCATTTGTTCTTTTCTTTTGATTAGGTGAATCTTGATACTGTTTTCTGCCATTTCCCCTCATACTTTGATTCTGTTTTTGCAATAAGAAAAGAAAATGTAAACCTATAGTATTATGTAATAGGACAAATATTATACCATATGAATTTGATTAAGCTGTTTGAATCAGAGTTTAGCAAAACAACCCCCCCCAAAAAAAAAAAAATCTTCCTAAAACATTGGGGAAAATACTGATATGGTACAGTTTCCCCAATGTTTTAGGAAGATTTTTTTGGAGGGGGGTTGCTTTGCTAAACTCTGATTCAACCAGCTTATCAAATTCAGTTGGTTGGAGCATTGTCCCAATGCACCAAGTTTGCAGGTTCGATCCCAATTAGAGTGCATGCAGGAATAAACCAATGAATGCATTAAGTTGGTGGAGCAACAGATAATTTCTCCCTCTCTCTCAAATCAATAAATAAAAACTATTTAAAAAAACAACAACAACAAATAATGGGGGGAGAGGGACAAGTTTGTGTGACTATCAAAAAAAAGTTCTCTGGGAGTGAATGCTGAGGCACACTGACCACAGTAGTCGAGTAGGAAATATGCAGCAGAGGTAATCAACTGTTACCCTATAAACCGCTTTAAATTAATAAATAAGCATTTTAAAATTAGTATTCTCATTTCATAAAATAAAGACTAGAGTTTTAAAAATGTGGGCCATTATCTCTAGGTTTAAATCAAAACACACAATAGCTGACAGTTTCCAATTTATTATGCTGCTTTAAAAAATTCTAAGTTTAACTCAAAACAGTTTTTTCTAAATATATTTTTATTGATTTCAGAGAGGATGGGCGAGGGAGAGAGAGAGAGAGATGGAACCATCAGTGATGAGAGAGAACCATTACTTGGCTGCCTCCTGCATGCCCCCTACTGGGGATCAAGCCCACAACCCATGCATGTGCCCTTGACCAGAATCAAACCCAAGACGCTTCAGTACGCAGGCCAATGCTCTATCCACTGAGCCAAATCGGGTAGGGCCTTAAAACACTTTTTAAACATTAATTTGCCCTTAGAGGTGTTGAAAGAACAGCTCTTTAAGAGGTTTAACTAAAACAGTGTGAACAAAATAACTTTATTATTATTTAAAATACATATATAAAAATACATCTATTTATGTATTTACATTTCATCTATCTACAGGAAAAATTAAATAATTCCTAAAATAGCTTGAAAACAATAAGCTAACTTAATTAAAGAATGGTAGGGAAATATGGGTTTTACCACACAATTTTAATTCAATTTCATTCTGCTCTTGCTGGTATTTATTTTTTATTATAAGTGGTACAACACACATAAAATTTACCACTTTAACCATTTTTGAATGTACAATTCAGTGGCAGTAAATATAATTACCATGTTGTGCAACCACCACTAGTATCCACCTCCAGAACTGTTTTTATTATCCGCCTTTTGGCTATTACGAATAATGCTACCGTGAACAATACTATACAAGTTATGTTTTTGAGTCCCTCCTCAGCTAGGAGCTAAGACCAAAGCTTAGGATTTGTTAGTCTCTGCTTTCAATTCTTTTGAGTACATATCTAGGAGTGGAACTGATGGTCATATGGTAATTCTATGTTTAACTTTTTGAGGAACCATCAAATGGCAGCTGCACCATTTTACATTCCAAGTAGCATTGCATGAGGGTTCCAATTTCCCCACATCCTTGTCAACACTTGTTATTTTCCATTTTCTTTATTACACCTATCCTAGTGGGTATGAAGTAGTATCTCATTTTGGTTTTGATTTGCATTTCTCTACTCACAAATTATGCTGGGCATCTTTTCATGTGCTTATTGGCCATTGGTATATTTTCTTTGGAGAAATGTCTATTCAAGTTGTTTGCCCATTTTTAAATTTGGTTGGATTTTGTTTACTAATGAGCTTAGGAGTTCTTTATATACTTTGGATATTAATCCATCGGACAAATGATTTCTAAATATATTCTCCCATTCTATAGGTTATCTTTTCACTCTTTTGATGGTGTCCTCTGATGCACCAAAGCTCTCAATTTTGGTGAATCTAGTATATTTTTTTAAAAGAATGAAATAAAGGGTGACACCTAAATGGATGGCTAAAATAATAAAGACAGATAATACCAAGCATTAGTAAGGATGTGGCACAACTGGAGTTCTCATATATTTTGCTGAGGATATAAATTACTTGAGAATATTGTTTGCTGTATATACTCAAAAACATAGCCATATTCAGTGATCCAACAATTCTGTCAATTACATATCCCCAAAAGGTGTATGTTCATAAAAAGACATGCACATTAATATTCATAACACTATTATTTGTAAAAAGCCCCTAATTGGAAATAACCAAGTGGACATCTGAGTAGAATAAAGGACTTCCAGCCTGTCAGCCTGAGACACAATCCACTGATGTGCCAACATCAATCAAGGCTCAACTGAAACAAGAGGGCATACCCAACCCACATAAGGGTCACCCCTAGAGCACTTGGCTCAGGTGACCAGGGAGACTGTGCCATTATGGTCCATAGAACACCTACTACCTAAAAGCCCCTCTGCCAAGTCTGAGAGATGTAGAAGATCCACCTACACAGGGAGGCAGCCAAAAGGAAGCGGTGAAGAAATGTGTCCCAAATGAAACAGAACAAAACTCCAGAAAAAAAGCTAAACAAGATGGAAGCATGAAAGCTCCCAGAGTTCAAAACACTGGTCATAAGAATGCTCAATGAACAGAGGGAAAGAATAGATGAATTCAATGAGAACTAACAAAGAGACAGAAAAGCCATAAAAAAAATCAGTTAGAAATGAAGAATACAATACTGACATAAGAATATATTAGATGTCAGCAACAGCAGAGTAAACGAAGCAGAGGATCAAATCAACAATCTGGAAGAAGGTAGACAAAAATACCCAACCAGAACAGCATAAAGAAAAAGAATTTTTAGCCCTAACCGGTTTGGCTCAGTGGATAGCGTCGGCCTGCGGACTCAAGAGTCCCAGGTTTGATTCCAGTCAAGGGCATGTAACTTGGCTGCAGGCATATCCCCAGTGGGGAGTGTGCAGGAGGCAGCTAATCGATGTTTCTCTCGCATTGATGTTTCTAATTTCTAACTCTATCCCTCTCTCCCTTCCTCTCTGTAAAAATTCAATAAAATATATTTTTTTAAAAGAATTTTTAAAATGAGGGCAGTTTAAGGGCCCTCTGGGAAAATATCAACATTTATATCATAGGGGTATCAAAAGGAGAAAAGAGAGAGCAAGGGATTAAAACCTATGATGAAGGAAATAGATATAGAAGTCCAGGAAGCACACAGTCCCAAATAAGATGAACCCAAAGAGGCCCACACCAAGACACATAATTAACATGACAAAGGTTAAAGACAAAGAGAGAATTGTAAAAGCAACAAGAGAAAAGCAGTTAGTTATGTATAATGAAGCTTCCACAGACTGTCAACTGATCTGTCAACAGAAACTTTGCAGGCCACAGGGATGAAAAGCAAGGAACCTACAACCAAGATTAGTCTATCCAGCAAAGCTATCATTTAAAAAAGTAGAAAGGAATTCCCAGACAAGAAAAAAGTAAAGGAATTCATCACCATCAAACCATTGTTATCAAAAATATTAAAAGGACCTCTTTAAGTATATAAAAAGATCAAAAATGTAAGTAATAAATGACACAATTACTTATTTATCACTAATTACTTTAATTGTTGTTGTTTTTGGTTAATCTTCACCAACGATATTTTTTCCATTGATTTTCAGAGAGTGGAAGGGAGGTGGAAAGGCAAAGAGAAACATCAATGTGAGAGAGATACATTGATATGTTGCCTCCCATACTCACCCCAACCAGGGACAGGATAGAGCCTGAACAGAGGTACTTGCCCTTGACCGGGATCAAACCTATGGCTCTTCAGTCCCCAAGCTAATGCTCTAACCACAGAGCCAAACCAGCTAGGATCTATCACTAATTACTTTAAAAATAAACAAATTAAATGCTTCAATCAAAACACATATGGTGCCCCAAAAGGTATGGCTCAGTAGCTGCACACTGATCCATCAACCGAAGGTCCTGGTTCAAATCCCAGTCAAGGCAGATGCCTAGGCTTCAGGCTCAATCCCTAGTAGGGGGTGTGTAGGAGGCAGCTGATCAATGTTTCTCTCTTATCACTGATGTTTCTCTCCCTCCCTTTCCCTTCCTCTCTCTGAAATCAACAAAAACATGTTTTTTAAATGGCATATTTTTTAAAAAAAAACATAGGGTAGCTGAACAGATGAGAAAACAAGACCTATACATATGCTGCCTACAAGAAACCCACTTCAAATAAAAAGACATATACAGACTGAGGGATGCAAATGAAGACCAAAAAAAGCTGGGGTAGCTATACTTATATCAGACAAAACAGACTTCAAAACAAAGGCTATAACAAGGTTTTTTAAAAGGTCATTTCATAATGATAAAGGAATCAATCCAACAAGAAGATAAAACCCTTATAAACATTTGTAGGCATAAAGTAGGATGGCACCTAAATATATAAAGCAAATATTGATGGACATAAAGAGACAAATCAACAGTAATAGTAGGGGAATTTAACACCCCAATGGCATCAATGGATAGAGTATATGAACAGAGAATCAAGAAAACAGTAGCCTAAAAATGACATATTAGACCAGATTGATATTTAGACCATTTCACCCCAAAGCAAAAGATGCCTTGAGACAAATGAAAACACAATGATCCAAAATGTATGGAACACAGCTAAAGCAGTTGTAAAGAAAAATTAATAACAATATAGGCCTACCTGAAGAAACAAGAAATATCTCAAATAAAAAAATCTAACCTTACACCTAAAAAAAAAAACACACAAAGCCCAAAGTGAGAAGGAAGAAAATAAATTATCAGAACAAATATAAATGAAGTAGTTTAAAACAATAGAAAAGATCAATGAATATAAGAGCTGAAAACATAAACTTAAGAAACCTGTAACCATCACAAAAACAAAGAGGACTAAAATAAAATCCTGTATAATAAAAGCCTAATATGCTAAGTGACTGGTCAACTGGTCAGCCGTTCAACCAATCAAAGCATAATATGCTAATGATATGCTAAATCCACTCAACCGCTCGCTATGATGTGCACTGACCACCAGGGTGCAGACGTTCCAACTGTAGGTTAGCTTTCTGCTGGGGTCCAGCCAATCAGGACTGAGCAAAAGGGGCCAGACATGCCCTGGAGCCCTCCTGTGGTCCCTCCCATGCTGACCAACTTCCCACTTCCCTCCCTGGCCCCAATCGAGCACCAGTGGGGTCCCTCAGCCTGGATTTTACCCTCTTACAATCTGGGACCCCTCGGGGGAGAGGAATCCCACGTCCCTCCCTGGCCCCGACCGTGCACCAGTGGCGTCTCTCGTCCTGGCCTGTGCCCTCTCACAAACTAGGATCCCTCAGGGGATGTCGAAGAGTCAGTTTCAACCCGATCCCACAGGCCAGGCTGAGGGACCCCATCGGTGCACGAATTCATGCACTGGGCCTCTAGTCAGAAATAAAAGAGAAGTGACAATGTGACCACTGAAATACAAACTATTATAAGAACACACTACAGCCGGAACCGGTTTGGCTCAGTGGATAGAGCGTCTCCCTGCAGACTGAAAGGTCCCAGGTTTGATTCCGGTCAAGGGCATGTACCTGGGTTGCGGGCACATCCCAGTAGGAGATATGCAG